CATTTCCAGCATGTTTCTATGATTTACTCACAGTAGTCTACCCTGTGTGTTTGAGACATTGAATTATAGTGTCTGTTATTATGAGATGTCTACCTTTTAACTGGTATCTCATCTTTTTTTAGGAATGAATCTGTTTTTATTTGCTGATGGAGTGATTTAGAAAATTCCGACAACACGTGAAGTAGACATGAGGGTTGCTGCTAGGAGAGCGCGAGGCAGGCAGGCAGGCAGAGAACATGAAGAAAAGGGGGTGGGGAGGGAAAGACTGCTGAAGAGCTTTAGTCCTTTTCTGTATCAACCATATAGAGCGACTTCATGCTTTACCCAAATCTCATCTCACTCTGGTTTGTGCTGAAGAAGAGATTTGCGTCTCATCAAACACCATGTTGTGCATTACATTTCAGTGACCCAAAAACTGTCACTTTTCCACCAGTGCTGTTTCTCTTTTTCTGTCTTCACTTCCTGCTCTGTGACTGGCTCGGTACATCCCCCATCCTTCTTCCTTTTCTATTCTCTCTCTGTCCCTCTTTCTCTCCCTGCCTGTCTCACACATACACATTTTACAGGCACACACAGGTTGTAATTTCATGTTTTCCTCCACTTTCCTGAGCTCTGCTCCCTCCTCTCATTTGCAGTTGCAGACACACGGAGGCAGTCATTTCCACCCATTAGCCCACTCTCACAGATGACACTGTAGCCTATTTTGTTCCACTCTTTACACCACCTAATAAGATAAGATAGTAAGAATCCTGGATGAAATGATTGGATGAATGCAGGAAAGAACACAAACAGATTTCCTTTCATTCAAAGGGAGCCTGTATGGTTAATTTGAAGGCAAAACAGTGAATTGAAGTTCTTTATTAGTACAACATTACAATTAGAAGTTTAATACACAAAGCAAATGCTGGCACATGTATTATAAGCTTCAATTATGTATTGAAACATTAAATTTAGATAACGGTTGGTCACAACAACTATTTTGTTTTAGAATTGAGGTTAAGATAAAACGCTACCTCATTATGTCACTCAGTTTATGCATGGTGCTATCACTAGGCAACAAAAGAAACCCATAGCATGATACCTCCACATTTCCAAAGAGTTTCAATCAACTAAGTTGCTGAATTCTGGTAAAGGTTGGTCCTTCTATTTCTAAACTGAATCCACTTTGCGCTGCTGAGCAGTACAATGAGAGCAAGGTGGCAGTTGTTGCTGTGGTCATTTGGTAAAGCCTAAAGTTGACCGCTCATACATGCATAAATGTAACTCAGTAGAGTAGGGACTAAATCGTCATCCCAGTAAAATCAATCCTACAGTGGAGAAATTCACGTGTGTCATCAGCAAAGTGATAGACGCAAGAAATGTGCAACTTAGCATAAACATGGAGACAAAAAATTAATAAGTATTTGTATGCATAAAACGAAAGAAGAGTATTTAGAAGAATAAAAAGCTGTAATTTTTTTTTATAAACTCAACTAGCTGGTAGGGGGAAGGATCTTTGATAACGTCTTTTTGTCCAACAAAGAAACTAATGGGTTGAGATGCTAATTGCTATTAGTGTGACTTCCTTCCTCATTTTATGCTGTTAGACACTGTACAATAGAGCTATAGTTATTTATGCATTTTAATGTTTTTCAAATATTTGAAATAAAACAATTCAACTTCATTTGAAGACTCTTAAAGTCGTAGGGAAGCGGCTGTTCCAACTGTTGCACTTCCGAATTCTCCTGAGTGGTGCCTGACTTCACACGAGTGAATAAAGTGAATGTGATTGGTCGATTATCAAGGGGGCGGGTTTGTTGTGGCGCAAGGTT